CGTCGATAGCTCGACTGCTTTATTTATATATAAATTCTTATCCTAGTTCTTATGCTATCGCCTACATACTATCATCGATTCCTTATCTTCTACCATGTGTGCGTACTTTATCAGGTAGCTCATGTTAGCCAGCCGCAGCATGCTCATCCAGCGCGGTGGCGAGCCTGAGCTAATGATTTGTGTACTTACACATCCTTATCTATTAAGCTGGCGCCTGCCAGCTACGAAAATGTTGGTGTTATGTTCGGCATCTAAGGCCGAACTCATTATTATCTGTATAAGAGAGCATGTCTGTTTATCGAGGTTTTATCTATAACAATATGATAATGTACCATTCGTGGTCTAGACAGAGCAAATCTAGCTTATCAATTAATTTACATTTACTTAGGATCTCGTTAGAATTGAACAAAAAGCATTTATTTTATTTTCCTTTGCCATCTTCTTAAGTGAATTTTTGATTTCAAATGAAGGAAATAGCTTATAAGTGGTTCCCATTGACGCTCTTCTGTCTATGTTAGGTTCAAGAGTACTTTCATTCAAATGCAATTTAAAGGAATGTATGTGAGTCTTTTTAAAATGAAAACGCATATCTGGAGAGAATCCTGGATGGGAATCTTACTCAATTTTCGTGAGAAATTTCATAATATTCATAATAATAATTATAATAATCACAATCTGTGATGTGAGCTAATTGCCCCATGTGTTAAGATTTAAATACTAAATCAAATCGTATATAGTCAATTATTTCGTTGCTTATTAGAGATATATTATTAAAATTATTTTTTCTGGTGCCATAAGTAAAGATATTATTGGAAAATGCACAAATCGGATAACTTTGGAGAGCAAGATTTCACTCTCCCTGGCAGCTTTTCAGCTTATGTGGTATTTACTGTAATTGTTGTTTTAGTTGTTGTTGCTGCTGTCGCTGCAAGTTTAAACTCATTATTAATGACCCGAGGCGTGTGTGATGGCGATGGCGACGGCGGCAGTAACTTGGCAGCCTGTCCGCCCAAGTCGCCATTGTCAAATTGTGCCACGCCCCCTCGGTACCAGAGTACCAGAGTCTGGTTGCACTCAAACACATGTCTAATGTGCAATTTATGCATGCGCCGTTTTTGGCCAACGGGCAGCCAAAGCCATTCAGTCATTCACTCAGTCTGTCCGTCAATTCGTCGCTTGTTTGCAGTCGATTTAGCTTACATCGGCTTAAAGTCTCAGTCGACTAGGCTGATGCTGATGCAGCTATTGCTATTGCAGTGGCAGTTGCTGTTGTTGTTGTTGGTGTTTGTGTTTTTACTGACTGTTGGTGCATGTCCGTGTGCTGCGCTTGTAAAATTATTATAAATCTCTTGTTGATGAGCTGTGATTATTAGCATTTACTCGTACGTGCTCCAATTTGGGGCTGCAAAGGCATAAAAAGCGCAGCCATCGCAACATGCAAGTGTCATTAGGCAGTTCCGGGAAACGCTAACCAGCCGTCGAGTACTCCAGTTCAGCGATCAATCAGAGCGCTGCCGACCGTTCTGACCGCCTTTTACTGCGTCTGTTCTTGCATTTGTTATTGCTGCCGTGGGCGATTGCGCCGAACTGGTTATCATTCGCTTGGGTCAAGCTGGCGAGTGCATCTGCATCTGCATAAATTGCAGCAAGTGGGCCATATACTATAATTAACCACTGGCTATTTAAGTTGCTGCTAATTATGCTCCATAGACAATATAATTGGTTGACAGCTGCCTTCGACCATTAACGTCCGCACCTTAATGGCACGGACACAAAATAATTGCCATACTATCTACCAATAGCTTTGCCAATAACTACAAACAGCATCACGACTTTCAATCTGATGTGATTGGGAATCACAAAACACTGGACGCTACATATATATCAATCAATTAATTTAATAGTTTATGGTGTCTTAACGAACAAATTCTACACATACTACTTATTTAATACAGACTTCCAAATGATTAGAAATAACAGAAAATAAGATGTGCTTTTGTCGTATATACTTGTACCTTGATAGGATAAATTTTAAAATATAAAATAAAAATATAAAAATAAAAAGATAAGCTAATTAAGCTACTGGGCTCATACCCCATTTATAAGGGTTTTAATCCTTTTCTTTATAATTTTTAATAATTCTTCTAAAATTTTATTTATAATAATAATAATAGGAACAATAATTACAATCACATCTAATTCATGATTAGGAGCTTGAATAGGACTAGAAATATATTGAATATATTATATTTATTTCTTGGACTAGGTTTTTTCAAACTTTATTTTTGAAAATAATCGAAGCCATTTTGTCGGATGATTAGAATCGTTTGATAAAAATGATCTTTGACTATCACTTCTGAGTAGCAGAAGTTGCAATTATAAGCTTAAATATTTTGTGTGTTGGCCAAATTGATTTCAATAGTTTCAAAATTGAGAATTAGGGCCATTTTGTTAGAAATATAACGCATCCGCCATGTTGGCCAGTGGACTGCTTTTGAAACCTATTGGCATAAGCATATTTTTAATTGCATTTTCAATTGCGCCTGCTGCTCGCATTTACATTTCATGTCATATTGTTGGTTATTGTTGGCCAAAAGCATAATGAACTTACACAAGTATACACATATGAGTATGCACATTATTGTAGTTATTCCTGAATTATTTGTCAGACGAAAATTGCATGGGCTGTTTTTGGCAACCCCACAGTCAGTGTTCGGTTGGTTTGGCTTCCATTTTATGGTCTTTTAATACAATTCTATGTGCTCGCTCGATTTATGGTACGATAAAGCCAATTTGGCCTAGACATTTCATTTCAATATCTTGCCTTTTGACAAATAAAATATTTTTCAATTAAAAGCCAGAGCCAGAATATGGGTTTCTGAAATTACAATAAAACGTTTTCCGCTTCGGTTTCATTGAATATGAACTTTGGTTGGGGAAATTTTGTGCACACGTCGGCTGAAATGGCCAACACACACACACACACACACACACACACACAAACATACACGAGCACTACTTATGCAGAGGAAAAGAAAATCTGAACTATTTATTTGATTTGCCGTTCAACGACGCCAACTATGACAACGTGCGAAATCAGCACAAATTTCTATGCTAAGCACAAGTGGGCGGGTGAAGGCGAAGGAAGCGTGCGACGTGAACTGGAGTGGAGTGGAGGCTGCGATGCAGGGCGCCATTGCCTTTTTGTCATTGTCAAAGCAACGAGCAACCAACAACCGGCAGCCAGCAACGAGCACCGCCAAACGACGACGCTGACGACCCATTTAATTTGGTAAACGTGCGCAATTTTAAAGCAAGCGCCAAAACAGCCACAGAGCGGGGCAAGGAGTGCGGCAGCGAGCTCAGCCAAAGAGCCAAAGAGGTGCCAAAGAGCAGCAGGCAACATGTGACGTGTGAATGATGACACTTTGCATGTTTGCCAAGTCACAAGCTGCACTAAATATTGATGAGGGTGCCTGGTTATGTGTGTGTGTGTGTGTGTGTTTGTTGCCCAACGAGGATACAGAACAGACGACAGGCGACAGATGACACACGTTGAGGTTGGAACAGTCGGACGGGCAGGCAGGCAGACAGGCAGCCAGTCAGGCTGGCAGACAGTCAGTCGTACGTGCAAAGTATGCAACACTTTTAGTGAATTGACATAAATCACAGATGTGTGAGTGTGTGAGTATGTGTGTGTGTTTGTGTCTGTGCGGGCAGGCAACGAGTTTGGGTTTGTTGTTGTCGCCCGGCTGCTGCTGCTGTTGCTGCCTCGGCTGCTTATGCGGCTAATGTTGACACTAAAAGGCGCAAATGATGCCACAAATTTATGCTGTGACATGCGGCGCCATTTTTCAAGCACCGTCCGCCCTCACAACTCATAATCACAACATGGAGAACACAAATTTCGAATGCTAAATAAAATGGCGTGCCAGAACTTGAACAACTGTCATGTTTTGACCATGTAAGGTCATTAAAAGGAGTATTGCAAAAAAAGGATTTCATTGGGGGTGTTAAATTTTCGTTTACAAAAATAATTCCATTTGTAACAGAAGAGTGTTGGAAAACTTCATTCTTTTAGCACAATTCTAAGTATAAGTGTCTCTTATAGCAACACTAATAAAATGAAGTAAAAACAAAAAAGTTTAACACTTGCCTGAGTTACACAAACTTACTGTCGAATATATTTGTGCGAAAACTCGACCATCCACTATGTTTATCAAACATATGCTCATTATACTGTCAGGTCCGAAAACTTTATCGTACTTTACGAACTATCTCAGACTATCAAGTTACAAAACTATAACTCCCCTCATCTACTGCCTCCAAATCACATAATTATTCAACACTCTATATAAGACAACAGATTTCCTCTCTATACAGCCTCTTTATCGATAAAAAGAGCTTGTAATCTCGAAATTTGAATAAGTTACATCTTTTGTATATCTGTCTATCTAATAATATTATACTCCCAGGGAATAAAGTGACACCAAAATGTAAATTCATTTTTGAGAACAATTTGAAAGTTTAGTTAAGTTTATAATTGAAATAAATGAACCGTTTCTTGAGTTTACAATATTGTTCTAAAACAGACAATGTTTGTAACTTAGAGTGAACAGTTTGTACGAATCAGAATAGATATCAACAAATAACATATATGTATATCTAAACAAACATACCTCTATACAAACATCACATATTTTTAAGCCTCTATATCGATAAAGGGAGCTTGTAATCTCGAAGTTTGAATAAGTTACATCTTTTGAGTAAAGGCTTTTACAATTTGTATGTCTCTTCCACTTCTTAGTAAAGTTTATAATTGAAGTAAATGAACCGTTTCTTGAGTTTACGATATTGTTATAAGCCATACAATGTTGTGAACAGTTTGTACGAATCAGAATTGATATCAACTATGGTATTCCTAGCTTAAACAGACAAATGAGCTTTTAGGCATGGCCTTTCCAGCTGCTAATGGAGAGCATGAAAAGCAAGTAACTCACCTTGATCTCGTGTATGAACTCCGTCTCGTCCAGCAAATTGATGCGCACGGGCATTATCCGTGATGGTCGACAGAGGCAATTCATGCTGATGCGTTTGTAATTTATGTCGCTTTACTTTATTTTTTACTTTTTTGGGATTGCGTAATCGCGTGCGAGTGGGTTAGAGTTTAGTGAATCGCGTATACGCCACTTTGCACAACATCAACAGCATTTTTAAATGGCTTTTAACGCTTAATGCACCTGCCCAGTGTTTAGCTGTCATTGCTCAATTACGCAAACAACAAACATAGTCATTTGAGTTCGTTTTCACGACCATTGACGGACTTTATGAAGATGTTGGCGCTCAAGTTATTATTGTGCTTGCACTGCAAATAAAGAAAGAGAGGTGGTCTACATAAGTACTATACAGTATACGAGATGTAGAAAGCTGCAGCAATTAAAATGTCTACATAATTAATAAATAGTTTTGCCTTATCGTAGATGTAGATGCATATGCATATATGTACATATATGTGTGTCCATATAACCAGTAATTAACTGAAACTGCAATTGCAACTGGTTTGAATGGCAACAGCGGCGGCGTGTCAACAACCCGTCCAACAAACTGGCAGGCGGTACAGGTAGGCGTCGAACCTCTTGTTTAATAACTCTCTTTGTTTTGACTTGGTCTGCACACAACAACAACATAATTTAGCTGCTTAAAGTTGTCTTTTATCTCCCAGGCTGATCACAACAACAACAACAATAACAGCAGCAGCAGCAGTTGGAGCAGCAGCCAAGCGCAGAAATGACAACACAACTGTCAGCAATGTGGCAGTTACTGCTGCTGTTGCTGCTGCTGCTTCTTCTTCTTCTTCTTCTGCTGCTCCCCAGTTGGAAATTATCATTATAATTTTATAATTGCGGTTGTGCTCGTTGCGAGCGATAAGTTTTATATGCGCCGCAGCAGCGAAAACAACAAAAACAACAAAGTAAATAATTAAATTCTTCGCCGCTACACTGTTTGTCGTCAGCGCCAGCATTTCTGCTGCCACTGTACTCTATTAAGAGGATTAGTTGAGGGGCTTCTGTTTTAGTTTGTGTCTCTGTTTTGCCCAAAAGCAGATTAAGTCATTAGTATCTTAGACAAGTGACAGCAGCAGCAGCAATAGCAATAGCAATGCTGATGCGATGCTTTAAGTTTGCCTTTAACTTCAAGATAAAAGTGTACGCGTGTCTTCTGTTTCTGTCTCTGCTTCTGCGAGCTATGAAAGAAAACTATTTCACTTTGACGTGCAGCCTGTCATCAAAAAGAAAACATGTCATATTCGCACAGCCATCTGCTTTGCTTAGCAAAAAAAAAAAAAAAAAACAGCAACAAAAACAAAAAAAGAAAATAAATAGTGTGCATTCGCATAATGAATAGCAACCGAAGCAACAACAACCGCCGCTCTGCCAGCCACGACATGTTTACTTTTCACACATTTCGCACGCCCCCTGACGCCCGCCCGTCCGTCGTCAGCTGTTGATGCTTGCCTCCTCTATTTTGCATAGCTTTGGCTTGGCATTAGATAGTGCAGTTGCGCCTTCATACTCTACCCTTTGCGGAATGCAGAGTCTCACAATTGCCACAATGCTTGTAACATTCCCCGAATTCGCTGTCAAACCCATCTTACCCAACTCAACTTCAATTACAGTATAAATGTTTCGTTCAATTATCCTTCTTCAATGCAGCTCTTGAATGCTACTGAAAATTATTCAATGAAGCTCTTGAAATATTACTGAAAATTATGTGAAAAATTACCAATTTGTCACTAAAGGAAATGAAAGCCTTTGAATTTCCACTTGACTATTAAATTGGATTTAAACAACAAATCTCCGTCTCTTTCTGACTTACCTAATTTTTTACATCCTCTTACTTTTGTATTTAATAATTTACCATAAAGTTAGTCCGAAAATAGACGGATAGATCACCTTAGAAACAAGATCCTAAAGAAAACCTTCTCTTGTGTTAAGTTTTTAAACACTGCACCCCTAAAAATAGGTCTAGGGCCCAGTTCTCAAATAGAAGAATCTATTATCTACTATCCAAGCGTTTTCAATTTATTTATATATTTTAAATTAAAATAAAATACATGCATCTTTATTGTTCACAAATGTTGGTAAGCAAATTCTGTTCTCGTTTAGAAGCGAAAGAAAGATAATAAGAAATCGACAGACTCTCACAATTCCTTAATAAAATTATATGACAAGACATGTCCCTAAAGAGTATTGCTGTCTCGAATTTAAAGCAATCGGTTTTTTTTTTTGCTACACTTTTTGTTTTGGCATCTCTCCTTTATGGTGCAGTTTGGGTTGAGTTGGGGAGAGCAGGTGGCACATTTCGCAGTTGGCTCATTAGGAGCTGTAAGCCACATGCATATATTTCGCCTAATTAATGAAGTGCTCAAATGTTGTGGCACCTTCAGCAACAATCCTTTTCTGCAGACACACAAGACTGTCTTTAACTTGGTCACTCTGTCAGCGGCGTCAGAGAGTTGCGTCAATTAAAACTCAAAATACAAAATGCGCGCACACACACACACACACACACGAGTGTTGGCACTCGTATGAATGAATGGCAGCCACTATGAATGCACCACACATGTAATTTTAATTGCAACCAAACGCACGCACCACAAGTTCATTCAACTCCAAAGAAGCGCGACGCCGCTCCTGGAGACGGCGCTCTCGCAGCTGATGCTGATGACGATGACGTGGATGCTGGTGACGATGGAGAACATACGTCTGCCTGCCACCCACAGCAACAACAGCAACAACAATCTTGCCAGCGGAAATTACAATTTACATACATGTGTGCCTTTTGCAGAAACACATTTTTATATTTTAATTACTTTAATGCCGCTGCTCTGCATATAAACGAGTGCCTACATATGTAGGTGGATCATCCAGTCAGACCGAAAAGTGTCGCCTCCTGTGCTGAGCACAAATATATTTAGCATTGGTTAGATTTGCATACTATTTTATTTATTTATTTATTTAGTAAATCAACAAATAGTGCTGTCGATACAAATACAAAAACTATGATTTACAATGTAAATGTAAATTTTACATTATAGTATAATATTATAAAATAAAATAAGGATATTTAATAATACAACGTTATAATTTCAAATTAAAAGATAGGAAACCCTAAGAAAAACTATACAATACCGTCTACTAATGCCTCCTTTAATTAAAGAAACAAAAGAGTTATGTACGTAGACTCCTTCAATGGTTTTTAATTATTGGTGTGCATCCACTTTTTATCGTCAGTTTCCATTTCAATGTCGCCTCAATTTAAAAGGCTCTTGGACTAGTCCCAAAACTTTAAATTGTTGGAAAATGTTTTGTTAACTTCAGTATAAAATCTTTTTGACATAACTAGCCTACCTATCAAACGATTTTTAAGAGCGATTTTGTGATCTGCAAAATGCCCAAAAATACAAATATTTATGTTTTCAACAATATCCTTTTTGTTACCCTTTCTTGTGATTGAAGAAATTTTGAGAACATATCTAAAATATTTTGGAATAGAAAATAAAAAGTCGTTGTGCGTATGTCTACAATAATAATTTAAAGGAAATTCTATTGAAAAGAGATAGGAAATTAATATTTGAACATGCATTATCTTTTGAAGGAAATCATCAAGATGGCTGATAAAAATGTTGAAGCTTTTACGATTTCAGTTTGTTTGGGGTTCGATTATCCCTCCAGCTTGAGTGGCCTTACCTTTGAGTATTGTTTTATAGAAGAGTATTCTTTTGCGAGAACTGTACTCGAAAGAGAAGTGGTATTCGAAAATGTGAGATATCTGCTTATACCTTGAGCAAACTTGTTGACTTTAAAAACACAATGGCTATCACTAATCCGAAACAATCCTATATATACACACACACACACAGACATGAACACACATGGATATGCGATAGTGCTGATGATAAATATGACATTGATCGATTTTTGAGCAGCGAAGCTAAAGAAATTTATCGCTGTCGCATATTTATAGCATCATCATATCTTTATGTGACGTCGTTCGTTCGTTTCATCCTTGTCGTTGGGCTTGTTTACAGGACATCATCAGTGTGGCAGTGGCGGTGGTGTTGGTATTGGAAGTGGTAGTGGCATGGCCAACATCCTCATAATTTCTTGCCATGAAATTTATCACACAAAACCAGCAGCAGCAAAGTGTTTGGCATCAGCATGCGGCCTTTGGGGAGGGGGGGAGGGGCGTGATTTTTTGTTGGCCAACCCTCGAAAAAATTGTAGGAAAATATAATGTTGGCTTGATTTGTGATAGAGTGCGTGGCAGGGAGCTGGGGGCAGGGAGCAGGGAGCAGGCAGTAGGCAAACGGCAAAAGGCAGCAATCAGCAAACCGGGCGGTCTTGCTATTTATCTGGCACAGCAGCAGCCGCTTTCAATTTCGTGCGGATTTTACTACTTTTTTGCCTTTTCGTCGGCTTTATTATTAATACAACGCACACACACACACGCACACACACACATAATGCACACTCACAACCCACACAGAGTCGTAAACTGTGCTGCATTCATTTGCTTTCTGTGGGTATCAATAACTGAAAATGTCTCAAACAGCATTTTGTCATATTTCAATGAGCGCCTCGTCTGTTGACTCGGTCCTTCGTCTTCGTCTCCGTCTCCGTATCCTAGTCTTGGCTGGCAAGTACGAGTAGCAAAGCAAACTTGGAGCGCAAGCAAACAAACTTTTAGCACGGGCCACATGTACAAACATACACGGATCCACATCTACATCCACAACCACATCCACGTCGACATTGACTCGTCGAGGCCCCGACAGTTTAGGCAGACGTCTCTGCCAGCATTTGGAGCGTGTTCCAGGAAGTTTTCTTGCTAAACGAAATTATTTATTACTTTCGGCACAAATGGCTGGTAACGTTGTGGGAGCTGCTCTTGATGTTGATGCTGATGTTGTTGGTGTTGGTGTTGTTGCTGCCGCTGCTGTTGCTGTTGCTGTTGTTGGTAATGATGATGAAAAACGTGAAAGCATCGAAAAGTGCAAATGGCCAAAGGTGAGAGCAGAGGCAAAGAAGGATTACCTCTGCCTCTGCCGCTTCCCACTTTAATGATGATTAAATGCGCGCAGAGTTTTCTTTTAAGGGGAGGTGGGGGGCTGTATTTTTATGAGACCAGTGATTTGTTTCGGGCTGGCTGATTTGACTATGCCATGCTGTCCTGTCCTGTCCTGTGCTCTGCTCTTCTCTACTGTGCTGTGCTGACAGCCGGAGGAGTGCGGAATGCGGATTGCGGAGTGGGCAGCAGTCTCAAATGAGCTGGAAAATCAACTGAGCATGGTTATTTATTTGT